CTTCTTCTTCTCCTTCTCCTCCTCCTCCTCTTCCTCCTTCTTCTTCTTATTATTTTTTAGTTTTTTTTAGTTTTTTTATTCAGTATTTTATTTATTTACATCTCAGATGCTATCCCCTGCCCCCATTCCCCACCCCACCTCCATTAATCCCCATCCCATCCCTCCTCCTCCTTCTTTGCTTTCATACCATTTTAATTCATGCTAGTACTAAGGTCAGTTCTAGGTTGAGGAAATAGCAATACAATAGATGCAAATAGTAAAAGAACAAGCAAGACAATAAACACAGATAGTCAAAGAACACTCAGGACAATAAACAGAGTTCTGTGATCACTCCTGGATGACCAAAATATCTGAGCCTACTTCCCTGTCCTAGCCCAAAGTCATTTTCATGCCTAAAGCTTACTTCTTTGTTCTAGCTTAAGATTTAGATTCCTGCCTGTAATTACTTCTTTGTTCTTGACTAATGTCAGATTCTTGCCTGCAGTCCATTTCCTTGTCTTTGGCCTACATCAGGTTCCTGCCAGGCAGCCCTAAAATCTCTCCACATCTCCCCCCCTTTTTATTGCATAAACCAGACTGAATGACTGAAACTGAACAACGCTTTACTCATGATGACTTGGTCAGGGAAGAAATCAAGAAAGAAATTAAAAACTTTTTAGAATTTAATGAAAATGAAAATGAAGATACAACATACCAAAACTTATGGGACACAATAAAAGCAGTGCTAAGAGGAAAACTCATAGCTCTAAGTGCCTACAAAAAGAAACTGGAGAAAGCATACACTAGCAGCTTGACAACACACCTGAAAGCTCTAGAACAAAAAGAAGTAAACACATCAAAGAGGAGTAGATGGCAGGAAATAATCAAACTCAGGGCTGAAATCAACCAAGTAGAAACAAAAAGAAGTATACAAAGTATCAACAAAACCAGGAGCTGGTTCTTTGAGAAAATCAACAAGATAGATAAACCCTTAGCCAGACTAATCAGAGGGCAGAGAGACAGCTGCCAAACTTCTTTCTTCCATCTCTCACAGCATCCTTCCTCTGTGCTCAGGCCTGGGTTACTCTCTTGGGTAAAGTGAACTGTTATCTAGTTCCTGGCCAAGAAAAGTATCAACACTGCTGAACGGGCCCAGCTGTAGCTCTACAAGGGAAGCCACAAGGGCTGCTCCAAGAACATAGCGCCGAGGGTTCATTTGTACTACAGATCTTTCTCCAGCACCGGAAGGTTATCAATAACTGGGCTGGGTCCTCTTATTCCACCTGGGTGGGAACCGTTGGAGACAAAGTAAAGCTCTTTCAGTGCTGACAATCTTCAGTTCTAACAGTCAAGAAAATAGTGTATATAGACTGGCAGACCAGAGCTTTAAGACTCCAAACCCTGAAGGTAGAAGGTTATTTACTATAGCCTCTAGAAGCAAGAGACATATGGCTCTGGGCACTTAGATTGGAGGCTTATGACTCTAGCTTTAACCACCAGAGGCCCCAGCGCTTAACAGCTGTTGTTAATTCTTGGCTTCTAGCAGCATTGTGCGGCAACAGTAGGTACCGGCAAGCAGCAGCAGGTGGACCTTCTTGCATTACAGTGCTCATACAAGCTATATAGTAGCATACAGGCCTACCGTGTCAGAACCCTCAGCACCATACAGCAGCTAGTAATACAGTTCTCAGGTCTAGAGTGTGTGAGATCCTTGGCTATGAAGGCTTAGTAAGCAGTTCAGTGAAACCCTCCCAACAACCAGGGCAGACAGTTGCTCGTCTTCAGCTCTTCACAGATCTAGTTATCTCCATTGTTTCTGTGCATGCCCGATTGACAATGTTTGATACAACATCTATGAATGTTTCTTATGGAAACAAGTATCTTGGAGGTCACCTGTGAGCGGCTCTACCCGATCGCGCCGGCCTCGCGGGGGGCCCTACACACCCTGTGAGACTGGGGCTGGGGAACAGGCAAAGTCTGCTACCAGAGTTGGCGACGAGGGCACCGCTGCCAAGTGCCGGGCCTGGTTTTTGCTAATGCAAAAGATGGCGGATTGCATGGCAAACAGTGAAGCAAATACTAGACACATAAGTATTGTGGAGAACTGTTTTGAAGCAGCTAGTCAGCCTTGACCATCCCTGGATGGGTGCTTATTGGAGAAGGAGTATTGACGATTAAGCTGTGCAGAGAGAAGCCAAGAATCACTAGTATCACTGTAACACTAGCTGCTGTACGGGGCTGAGAGTCCTGACACGGTAGGCCTGTATGCTACTATATGACTTGTATGAGCACTGTAATACAAGGAGGTCCACCTGCTGCTGCTTGCTGGTACCTACTGTTGCCACGCAGTGCTGCTAGAATCCAGGAATTAACAAGCAAGGCAGTTTTTCTTATTTAATATATACGATAATATTGTTATCCAGAAGAAAAAAAATACAACAAACAACATATTATTCCCTTGGAAATTGTCACCATTGATTCCATCAAAGATGAAGGGGAATTACGGAATGGATGGCTTATTAAAACACCATCTAAGTCATTTGCAATTTATGCTGCCACAGCCAAGGAGAAGTCAGAGTGGATAAATCACATAAATGTGTCACTGATTTACTTTCCAAAAGTGGGAAGACACATAGCAATGAGCATGCTGCTGTCTGGGTTCCTGACTCTGAGGCCACTGTGTGTATGTGCTGTCAGAAAGCAAAATTCACACCAGTGAATCAGCGGCACCATTGCCGGAAATGTGGCTTTGTTGTTTGTGGTCCCTGCTCGGAAAAGAGATTTCTTCTTCCCAGCCAGTCTTCTAAGCTTGTGTGGATTTGTGACTTCTGCTATGACCTGCTTTCCTCTGGGGACAGAACCCTGTGTCAGCCAACTAGATCAGACTCTGACAGTCGTTTAAGTCTCCTTTAAATGATGCTCTGATGATGATGGTGACGTTGATAGCAGTGACTAAGGACATGCTGTGAAATATTTAATTGGGTCTGACTGCCTGAGAATCAGCTTTGGGGGACATGGAAAATTCCAGGCTCTCTCAGTTTTGCTCTAGCCATGACTGCCTGAGAAGGTCTTATGTGCCTCTCTGTATCCTATAGAAAGCAGCCCTGTGCTTTCTGCTCCTCTCTGCACTCTCACAGGGACAAACTGTTGCATATACATCTGATAGGGTCTTGGCTTTCTACTCTCCATATTTCTAGATTATTTTCTTGTAAGTTAGAAAAGATGTTTATTTCCAAGATCTTGTATTATATTTTCTCCTTGATATGGAAAAACTAAAGGCACAGAATGATGGAACAAGAATATCGGTGGTTTTCTCCCAAGCATCCTATGTAATGGTTAAGACACCAGTGAGAGAACACGGTTTGGAAATTCTTTATTCTCTTTTCTCAATACCAAGTGGCAGCAGTATCATTGAACTAAATGAAAGCCATACTTTCTTCTTTGATTGATTTAAACACACTGGCACTCTTACTGGTGGAGAATGAGTGTTTGATGGATGTAGGTAGAATATTTATTTGATAGCTACAAGGAACTAAATTTAGAGGTATCTACACTCTTATATGAATACATATTTTCCATAAAATAGTTGTGATCATATTTTTACCTCTTTTATGCACCAAATGGTAATGGTCACATATGTTTAAAATTAGCCAGTTTCCACTCTTAGAAATTTGATTTGAAATTTATCACTAGTATAGAAGTGGCATATTCACTAGCTTCTACTTTCCTAAGATATTTTTACATATAACTTTCTTTGCTTTCCAATATTTCTAGAAGGAAAAATCTGAGGAAACCCTTATTTTTTCCATATACAGTTTCACTGTGAAGCTTTGTTTGTCCTGGAACTCAGTCTGTTGACCAAGCTAGCCTTGAATTCTCGGAAATCCACCTGCCTTTGCCTCCGCAGGCACTACTACTGCCTGGCAAAAATCAAAAGTTTTAAGAAAATTCTCATAGTAGAACATAGAGTCTTACAGATCTGGAAGAGATCAGAGTTTGACTAGATTCCCTGTCTGCAAGCATTGTCAATATTTTTGTGAAATAACCTTGATTTACAACATGTGTTTTATTTTACAGAGTTTATGAAGCCCCAAACAATTTTTATTTTTGTAAAACAGTTGTATGTCTAATCTGTTCCTGAAATCATTTTGCAGTATATGGAAATAGTGTAGCAGTTGACCATCAGTCGAGATTGCTTTGAGAACTAACTGATAGTTATTCTCTTTGTGTTTGGAGGCAGCTATTAGGCAGTAGGCAAGCTCAGTGCATAGCACTGGATGTGTCGTGCATATTCTGGCTGCTGACATGCTGCTGTAACTAGGTTTTTCAAATTCGGGAAACCAGCAGGCTGAAAGGGTTTTTCCCCCCAGAGTTCTTTTCAAACCCTGCCTCCTTTTCAAATTTTAAAACCTGCATAATTCTGTTCTGGGGTATGATTCAGTAACTTGTGAATGGAAGAGTCATTGGTATCTTACTATGTGGTTACAGTGCGAATTTTACTTTCCTGTTCAGTTTTGAAAGTGTACGAACTAAACAGGTCTCCCTGTAGAAAATGTGAGAAAACCCCCCACAATAGAACACGGCTTAGGGGCTTTGTTCCTGCTTTTTGATTTGGTTGGATTACTATCAGATGGATTTTTGTTTGTTTCAAAGCAACATATACATGTAGTCATAAAAATCAGAGAAATGTTGATGGAAACTTGGAAATTCAGGAACCAAGGGAAAATGTCCTGAGATATCCTTTGCATTGTTGACCTCTATTGATTATTTTTACAATAGAAATATTTTGCAGCTTAAAAAAAAGGAAGTATCTTGACGGAGCCATGCCAAGAGCCTGTGACAACAGAGGCTCAGGGTGTCTACACCATATGGATGGAGATCTGGAAGGGGAGCACAGTGGGAGGAAGACTGTAGACTGTTAAAGCTGAGCTACTCAGCACTGAGCAGAGATCTCACCAGCAGTTCTGGACAGCTTCCCAATTATAACAGCTCCAAGGATAGTTGCTTATTAAACTGGGGTTGAAGGCCAGTCCAGCTTGTCCCAGGTCACCAGGCTAATGGGCCTGTCATTGAAGAGGAAGCTACCAGAAGCTGGACTGGAGACACAGTTTCTCTTCCACTGCTCCTTTACTTTAAAGAAACTTTAGTAAGTTGTGGTATAAATTTTGGGGTCCAGTTGTGATTTTGTGTCTTCTGCTTCCTTCTCAGGTTATTTAGATGCTGCTGTACACCAATCTGGAAGGCTAAAGTGGAGCCTGGGTCGGGTGGAGTTCTGCAGGATCCTGGAGTGAATGCTGGGGGCAAGAGGGTTGGGGGAGGGGCATCATGGAGAAGGCCTTTTCTGAGGATCTTAATGTTATATCTCTTTTAGGTGAAGGCCTTCTCAATGATCATCAATAAAACAGCTCTCTGAGATGATCTTAGCTTCTGTATATTCCTTTATTGGGGATGGGCTTGTATGCATTGGAGTAAACTGAGGGTTATATATAGTTTTGGGGAAGGGGTGAGAATATCCAGGGTGGGCAAAGGTCATTCATTGACTGAAGGCTAAGGTACTGAGATGCCTCATTAGCATGGGGAGGCATTCCAGGAATCTCAGGTGCTGGGCTACTGACGTTCCTCAGATGGGGTGCAGAATCTCTCAGGTAGAGAAGAAGAAGCCCTGCTGACAAAGGGAATCATTTTGTACTGAGCTCAGGGCAGTTTGGTAATGTCAGACCCATGTCGAAGGGGAAAAAGTGGGGGACTGAGACTCCTGTGAAGTAGAAGAGGAGCCAAGAAACAGAGATCCAGGGTTCTTTGGGTGCTAAGCAGTTTGCATTTCTGCCAGACCACTTCAAGCATGGCTGGTTTATAATGTTCAGAATTCGGAGGATCTCAGGGTGACACAAGCTAACCTTTTAGCATCATGCTCACAGGGACGGTGGACTCTGGGCCCCTTGGGAAAACAAGCCCCCTTCCTCTTGAATTTTTCTTGGCTTTAGCCATGACCCAACTTCCATTTTTATTTCAGTAGCCTTGGTTGTGAAGTACCTTCAGTAGTTCAGAGCCAGAGGGTATGATATTCCTCATATCTGCAGTTCCCAGCCAGGGGTGCAGATTGCTATAGTTAAGAACAAAAGCTATAAGCCAAGTGAGATGGAATTCATCTCATTTACTTTCTCCCCTCTCAGGTAAGGACCATGCTCCTGCTTCCATTGCTCCCTGTCCTTTTGTGTGTGTTGAGTGTGTCCTCATCAGGGTCACAAACCTGTGAGGATACCCTGAAGACTTGCTCTGTCATAGCTTGTGGCAGAGATGGGAGAGATGGACCCAAAGGGGAGAAGGGCGAACCAGGTATGGAGCACTGTACTCTGGCTTTCTATACTTTTACCTCCAGTGGGGGACTGTTCTGTCTTCAGAGATGGAGTCCAGGGACCTAGGAAGGCTTGGCTTTCATTATGACATGTTCTTTCCTTCATAACAATGCTTTCATTATGACATGTTCTTTCCTTCATAACAATCTCTCAACAACATCACTGCCTCCCAATCAACAGTGCTTAACAGCTCTCTTGAATCTCATACTTCCACACAGGGTCTGTGAGGTGGGGTTGTTTCTCAGAACAGCTATCCAGACTTGGGAGGCAGAAGAATCTTTCAACTCTGAATCACCAATAACTACCTCTGGCTCTTTCTTGTAGTCAGTGTGGATTACACGTTGATCTTCTAGAGAAAAAGAATGAATAACAGCCATTGGGACACGCTGTCTTTATCTCCCAACAGGTCAAGGGCTCAGGGGCTTGCAGGGCCCTCCAGGAAAATTGGGGCCTCCAGGAAATGTAGGAATCCCTGGATTACCAGGACCAAAAGGCCAAAAAGGGGATCGTGGAGACAATAGAGGTAAGAGAATGCCTTAGCATGACTGGCTTGAGTGGGGGTGTGGGTGTTCTAGGAAGAGAGAGCCATATGAGGAAATGCCTCTGGTTTCCATGCCTCACAAGGACATGCTCAGTGTTGTTGCCTGACTCAGTGTCATTATGTCCCCAAGAAATGCCCTCCAGGGCCATTCCCCTATCAGTTCTCCTTTGGACACTGGGTTAGCTTTTCTTCAGATGGAAGTCCAGTGTGTGATCCAGGCTATGAGGGAGGAACTGTGCCCCTCCCTCATGTCTACTGTAAGAAGGGTTGCATGAAAGTGGTCTGTTTCATCGAGCCCCTGAATAATGGAGAATACCATAGCAACTGCTTCTGAGTGAAATTGAGAAAAAAAAAAAGAATTCAAAGCATTAAAGAGTTTGCCTGGAGGTTGGGGAAGAGCCCCAGTTGGTAAAATGCTTGCTGCACAAGCATGAAGGCCTAAGTTCAATCCCGAGAACCCATATAACACAAAGCAAAATAAAAAACAAAAAACACAATATTTATGTTGGCACACATATGCAATCCTAACACCAGTGAGGCAGAGATAGACACATACTGGGGGCTTGTTAACCAAGTAGTCTAGCCTATTCTGCAAGCTCTAGATCAACGAGAAATCTTTACAAAAGATAGTGTTTACAAAAAGATAGCTCCGAAGGAATAACACCCTAGGTTGATCTCCAGCCTCTACATACACACACGCACACGCACACGCATGCATGCATGCACACACGCACGCGCACACACACACAGACCCCGTCACACACATATGCATCTACACATGAACAACACAGAGAGAATTTACCAATAGTGAGAAATGAAATAGAATCATAAAGAAAAATCACAGACTAATGAGTATTTTTTTTAGAAATTAATATAATATTATACTGTTTAAGCACTCCATTAAAACAAAGGAAGAAGAGCTACTGTAACAGGTCATTAGGATAACTAACTTACACCTGGGAAAACAGCAATGTTACTTTTCCCCGTTTGCTTCTTTAGCTCTCAGATTTTTCTGGAATAAGCTTACTTTTTAATGAACCTTATCATTTGTGTGCATAAGAATATTCATGTACACACATATTCATGTAAATGCAAGTGTATGTGTGATGGGTATACATAAGTGTGCATGATGAACGTGGAGTCCAGATGCCATAGGCAGGTATTGCTCTTAGGATAGAATCCATCTCTTTTCTTTTTTTGGAGACAAAGTCTCTCATTGGCCTGGAAGCTATGAAGTAGGCTAGGCTAGGATGGTTGGTCAGCAAGCCCCAGAGATCTACCTGTCTGTACCTCTCTGTGTCTGTCCAGCATGGGGATGACATCCCTGGCATTTATGTAGGTTCTAGGAATCAATCATGTCCCTGTGTTTACATGGCAAACTCTTTGCCTATTGCATTTTCTCCTATGAGTTTTGTTATACTCCTACCCTCCACCCCACTATTTGAGTCTCCAGGTTAAAGTCTTCTCACTAGGTACCCTCTTCCTGATGCTCTTACAGCCATTGAGGCGAAGCTGGCAAATATGGAGGCAGAGATAAGGATCCTGAAATCAAAACTGGAACTAACCAACAAGTGTAAGTTTTCCCTGAGCCCCAGGGTGTTCTTACTCCAAAGTTTCCCTGCAGATCTAGAGTTGGGGGAGAGTGGAAGAGGGCTAACAATTCTGAACACTAACTTTACCCCAGATCTCTGCAGGCATGGCTCTTTCTTATGATGTAATATCATTCAATCTCCTCAGCAACTCTGGTTGAGACAGTATTCTTATCTTGGGGTTGAGGGAGTTTGTTCAGTAGTAAAAAGAACCTGCAACACAAGCTTTATGACTTAAAATCAATCCCCAGAACCTACAGTGGAAGAAGAAAATCAACCCCAAGTGCTGTCCTCTGACCTACACAGGCACACTGTGCCATGTATGTAGACACATACAGACAGACTCTCTCTCTCTCTCTCTCTCTCTCTCTCTCTCTCTCTCTCTCTCTCTCCCTCCCTCCCTCCCTCCCTCCCCCCTCTTTCTCTCCTTTCCTCTCTCTCTTTCTCTCTTTCTCTTTTAAAAAGATATCATACTTCTTACTAATGAGGAAAAGGAAATCAAGAAGTATAATAACTCATTCTACATTCATACAGCTTGTAGACAGTAGCAAGAAAGGGGCTGAGTGGAAGTCTGTTTTGTCCAACATCTTTGTTGTCTGCTTCCTACTCACTGTTCTTAGGTGACTATTGGTACCCTTCTCTTATTCTGGTACCTAAATGGGGCAGGGAGGGCCACCAGTGCCACCCCATGTTTACCTGTTTTTTGACTCATGTTGATGTCAATGGGCTATTCCAGAAGGCTTCAGCTGATTTCATGAAGCTGTGGATTTCTTTGTGCTACTGCTGTTCTGAGTCATACCCTTTTCCTAGGTTCTGGTCTAGTGTGTTTGTACCTGAAACTACTATTTAGAGTCCCGAATTTCCAGAGGACTTTTTCAACTAAGGTCCTAACTGGGCAACACACTGAGAGAGCCTCATCTACTCTGATTTCAGTGCATGCCTTCTCAATGGGCAAAAAGTCTGGGAAGAAGTTCTTTGTGACTAACCATGAAAAGATGCCCTTTCCCAAAGTGAAGGCTCTGTGCACAGAGCTCCAAGGCACTGTGGCTATCCCCAGGAATGCTGAGGAGAACAAGGCCATCCAAGAAGTAGCCAGAGGCGTCGCCTTCCTAGGCATCACGGATGAGGTGACTGAAGGTCAATTCATGTATGTGACAGGGGGGAGGCTCACCTACAGCAACTGGAAAAAGGATGAGCCCAATAACCATGGCTCTGGGGAACACTGTGTCACTATATTAGATAATGGTTTGTGGAATGACATTTCCTGCCAAGCTTCCTTTGTGGCTGTCTGTGAATTCCCAGCCTGAGGACACTAGTGCCTCTGTCTTTTCCTTGGCTCCTCTCTGAACTCTCAGTTGTTTCCAAAGAAAATTCAGTACTGATTTCTCAAGCCTAATTTTCAGTGATTCTTTTGAGGGGAGAGGATAGATTTGGTTGAGGCATGAGGACACGAAGGGAAGCTGACCATCAGGTACCAGGGTCTATATGAGCACGGAGCAAAGGTCACATCCATTTTGCTAGGAACACAGCAAGGAGTCAACTATGGAAAACCTACAATAAATATCTCCCCCTAAAGGATCAAAGGTGGGCCATACCTGTGCCAGGGTGGCAGCTGATCTCAGCCATAAAAGCATTCAATTCCTCATCTCCATGAACTGTCACTAAGTGGTGTCAAATTCACCTGTTTAAAGCCATCCTCAGTTTACAAAGTGTTCTTGGCTCTTGTGTGTTCCTTTACAGGGATTTATATCTGGTGGAGAATGGAAGAGCGCTAACATTTCTGGACACTTGCTATACCCCAGGCATAGGTGAGCTAGGTCCCCTCTGTGACAGAGCTGATGTTTGTAGAGTCCATGTGCTGCCCCAGGGGCCCTCTGTCTACCTGACCATAGCAAAGGGCAGTATTCTTTGTGAGTGACCACACTCAGTCCTAAGAAACCCCTGCCAAGTAGTTGTGTCCTTCCTATACTCACTCTGCATCCCAAGAGTGGAATTCGGCCTTTTCTTCCTGCACTGATATATGGGGTTGATATATTGATATACTGTGTTCCAACAACATAGAAAGAGGCAGATGGTAATCCAAGGGGAGTCCATCTCACAATGTCAGTCCCCACTGTCCAGCATCTCTTCCTTCCACTGAAACATCTTCTCATTATGGATGAGTGAGCCCATTATCACTTCATAGAGAGGAAAAGTCCTATAGTTAGCTTTTCCCCCTAAGGGTTAAATGATACCACCACAGTGGCCAGCACTGGACCTCCCTCCTGCACAGCTCTTCTTCTCTCTTAGTCCAAGGTTTCGATCTATCGATTGTGACCACGGGATTTTTGTTTTCCACTTATCTGAGGGTAATTTGAGCTGAGATTTAATAGCACAATGAGCCAGAAGAAGGTGAATTCTGGCCCCAGCTGCTTGCTGTTCACAAGAGAGATTGGAAAACATTTCCTGAAGGAGCTAACAGTCATTCTCACTCACTGTGGAGGCTTTGTTCACTTCCATTTGTAGTTTACTTCTCCTGAACTGCCAGGAAAAGCACTCTGCAGTCATTTCATGGTTGATGGATGTTTGTTCAGTGGATACAGCAAACATTTACAAATGGATGGATACATTGGCTACTGAGCAGTCAAGATCAGGCTGTGTGCTGCTTCTACAAAACTTTCCCAGCAGGTTTGAGAACTAGGCTGGGACCTTCAGAAGGCATCAGGGGGAAGGACCATGTACCTTGGTTTCTAGCACACCTATACTGTCACATTATTGAATGTTCTTCAGACAACACACACTTCTGATATAGAATAGAATTATTCACTGCTTCATTTTGAATCCAGATGCTTAAACACGGGCACTGGGGATGGCTTATGATATAGAGCACCTACACAGGATAAATTAGAATCATAAATGTAGATTATCCAGGAAATGAGGTCTTGGGGTTTAAATTATGTCTATGAGTGTTTCCTTTGGTAGACATGCAGGACATAGCTACTGGGGTCATAGTTTGTTTCATGTGACAAAGGGAAAACTCATATTCAAAGACCGAAAAACTCATGATCCAGGTTCCAGCCTGAATTCTGCATCCTACAATGGGAGGGCCTGCTCATCAGGGCAGTCTTTCTCTGGACTCAGACATCTCTGCTGTTGATACTGACATCTGGGTTCTTGCCAGAGGTAGGAACTTAGGGTTCTAGCTGAAGGCTTGTTACTCACACTAGATAACTTCCTTCATGGGTCCAGGCAGCGTCCTTTCTCTGTGGCTGTCAGAGGTCAATCAGATCAAAGGGCCAGCCCATGGTCTTGACCCTTGGGCATGGTTTCACTGTAGAGCCTCTGCCCTAAGGCTGTTTGCTCACTGTTATGTAAGAGATCTGTACTTTGGTAATTGTCAGGAATTTGGGGTTTTTCCACACACATATTAGCCAGGAAAGGATCAGTTGTCATCTGAGGCCCAGGCTAGAGATGCCAGGAAGTGGGTTTTAAAAAGCCACGTTCCCATGATAATCCTAAGTAGCTGATGGGTTGCTGAAAAAAAATTAGAGGTGCTCCTGACAAGAGACCAGCTGGGAAGCAATGACCTGTGTAGATAGAAGGTCCCCATGTATGAAACAGTCTGCTCTTGGCAGATATAACTGCCACCTTCAAAAGCAGTATAATTCTGGTAGGCATTTACAAAGTCAACACAAGCCTTAGGCTAGGTTAGCCACTGGCAGCATGTGGTCTAGCCTGGCTTGTCCTGGTAGTCCATGAGCGTGTGTATTCTATGTATCTCTTTAGAGCAGGGCTAGCAGAATTGACTAGAATCATGACATAGTCTAAAATCTCTGGTACTGTTAAATTTTTCTTAAAAGCTCCTGCCATTGTGAGGTTATCAGGTGATCTAGATGTTTGGCAAGGTTTTTAGAAATCATTGTTCCAAGAAATAACAATCACCTTTGTGACTTGTGTACATCTTTATCCATGCCAGAGGCAGGCTTTCTTCATTTTCTGGAGGCCTTTCATAATGTAAAGGGATTCTGCTTTATGTATAGTGTCTGTCCATTAACACTGTTTCCCAACTACTCCCTACATATAACCTGTTTCTAGTCTAAACCCATCTGAAGCATCATAAGGTCTTGCCACATCCTATGTCTTTAGAGAATAATAGAGCTAGGACTGAAAGGCCCCAAGGAGTTACCAGAACATGGGAGGTGCTGGGTTCATGAGGTCTCGTGAAGGTACTTGTGTGACCAGAGCTCAGGCTGTTGTACATATTTTTGTACACACATGTATGTCAAGTGTCTGTATGGCAATCAACAGATCCAAAGCCTGAAACCTCCTGCACCCTGTTGGCAGCAACTCATGCTAGCCTTCTCCTGTCTATGTGAATGTCTCTGTCTCCTCTTATGAATATTTCAGAGGCTCTAGGCAGAGTATGCATACTGGTCACGTACAAACTGTCCATAAACAGCCCTTGATGTGTTGAGGAGGCTGTGGAATCAGCAGTGACTGTTCAGGCACTGGTATAATCTTCAGTAAACTTTAGATCTTGCCAAAATTGTCTTCATCCAACTCATCTGACCAGTGAATCTAAGTTGGCCCCAAATCCAGCCATAAATCATTTTTCTCTTGTTTTTATTTTCCTCTCAGCAACTGTAGGTATTTGATAGTAGTTTGGTCAAATATATATTTGACAATGTCATTAGAAGTAAGGACTGATCCCAGACTGTCTGGATTTAAATTCTAATTCCACCACGATGCAGCTGATTGGGAGGTTGCATGCAGTCTCTACTCCTGTGCTCTTTTTGGTAAAACTGGAATAACAATTGTGCCTACGTCAGAAGGTTGTCACCAAGGACAGATAAGCTCTTATCAGTAAAGCCATTACAACAACCTTTACTTGGAAACAATGCCACACTAGCAGTAACTGTGCCTTAGTGAGTTTTCCAAACCTACATCACTCACCTCAACAGATCCAGCATCTAGAAATGGGTGGGAATCATTTATAAGCTCAATTGATGGCTGGCACACACATTCATGAATGACTTCATGAGTGAATCTGACTCAATCCCCAGGATATGAGATTCAACTCATCCCCAGAGATTGACCTGGGGCCCGGCTGGAGTTCAGAAAAGTAGTGGATTCATTTTGGAAGATGGGTATGAGCATAGTCTACTTTCTCATGCAGCCCTAGACCTGTCAGAAGTGGCCTTGTGCTGCCCTCTGCTGGTTGTTATGAAGGCGGGGCCAGCATGCCTTGAGAGTCTCACAAGCAGTGGGGTCCAGAAGAGCCTCAGGCTCCCATAAACCCACTGTTTACAACTTGGGTTGGTCCTGTTGCTTTGTCTCCACAGCCCTTATTGCTGCATCCACTTGGATCTTGGTACAACTTCCAAGCCACATGAAGATGCCTGCTCCTACTGACTATGTATCATCTGCGTGCCAAGGTTCTGCAGCAATACCCTATTCCTTACATCAGTGTCTGGTCCATTTCAAATCTAGACTGTGAGCTCTTTATAGAAGGACTTCCATGCCATTCAGCCTTCTTCCCTTCCCACACAGTTATGTCCAGAGTGACTTCATGTTCCCTCAAAACAGGATGTCATTGCTGATGAATGGCTTTCTGGGTCAAACAGACTTCCATTTTCCTTTGTTGGCAGCAGCAGGGGAAAATTGGGGATTCTCTCAGAAGTAGGTTCTGTTTGAAGACACAAAAACAAATCATTCAATTGCAATGTTTACAGTGACCTCAAAGAATCTCAAACGTGAAGGGATGCTTCACTGGGGTACTGTAACTAAGGACACTATGCAGCCTGTTGGGGACCCATGAGACAGAGGGTTAGTGTACAGTGGGATAGTGGATACATCTTCCATAACTCATAAGAGGAAGGTATTGTTGTGCCATATAATATTGTAATAATTACCTAAGGATCCCAGGTGGTAGAGGGGAAAAGAACTCATTGATCAATCCTACCCAGGGTTCTGAAATGTCCAGCTATTCCTGTAGGAATCTATGGTTTCCATCATCATAAAAGTACTTGCAGAGTCAAGTGCCACATATTTCAGAAGGCACAGTAGGAAGATCATGTAGAGATCACTGTGGCCACCTTGCTAATCCATCTCATGTATGACACTGGCTGTCAATAACTCCTAAGGCAGGAATTAGAAAAGGGTGGAACATCCTGGTAGCTCTCTGAGGTGAGATATCTTGTGTTATGGGCTGAGTATTGTTTGTCCTCTAAAGGTTCATATCCTGGAAAGCTGTTATCCAGTAATAGCAATGAGGAATGGTGGAATCTTTAAGAGCTAGGTCCTACCAGGGGTAATAAACTGATAGGAATATGGCCTCAGACAGGATTAAATCCCATATCACAGGAATGAGTGAAATATCCTAGGACTGGATTAGATAGTATGAGAGTGTGTTGTCACAAATCAAGGCCATCTACGTGTTTGGCCATCCTCTTTTGCATGTGCCCCTTGTCACTGACACACGCTGCCACATGAGGCTGTTCAGTATGTTATGGGGAAGCATGTGAACTATAACACTTGCACACTCCTCATATTTAAGCCTTTTTTAAAAAGCTATTTTTGTGTTCTAATACTTAGATCAAATACAAGAATCAGATCATCATCTGTCCAATGGATAACATGGGTAAATGATTTAAGTTAAAATTAAATGTTTCATAATTTGAAAAAAGAATAAACGGTATGTATTTCAGCTTTGATAAGAAAACAGGAGAGTCCT